GAAAATATAAGAATTTCCAAGTAATGCTCAACTCAAGTGCATGTGTGTGTGTGTGTGCGCGCGTTAAACTTCTTGTTGAATGATTTCAAATTATCTCTGAGTCTGAACTGAGGGAAAGGAAACCAAATTTTGAGCAGTCTCACGAGTTCAAAATACCAAATGAGGAGATTCTAAAAGAACAGACCGGTTTATGAAAGACTCGATGGGGGAGGGGCACAGCTAAGAATACTTGAGTGAGATTCTGTGATCCAAATTCGAGATAGAGCTTTTTGATAATGATAATTTGTCAGAGTAAGGTTGTGTAATCAAAATTTGAGAATGAGCTTTGTCAATCAATCAAGAATATTTGCATTAAGTTCTGTGATCAAAATTCAGAAACAACCTTTAATAATTGATAAAGAATATGTGAGTGAGGTTGTGTGATCCATCCAATTTGAGAATTAGCTTTGATAATAATGATTGAGAGCCTCTGGCCCTCTGTGGATCATGGCCGCGGGGCCAATTTTGCCTGGCCCCTTGGGGCCTCTGTGGGTCACGGCCGCGGGGCCAAGTTGACTTTGCCCCTTGGGGCCTCTTACCCTCTATGGATCGTGGCCGCGGGGCCAAGTTGGCCTGGCCCTTTGGGGCCTCTGGCCTTCTGTGGGTCGTGGCCGCGGGGCCAAGTTGACCTGGCCCCCTTGGGCCTCTGACCCTCTATGGATCGTGGCCGCGGGGCCAAGTTGGCCTGGCCCCTTGGGGCCTCTGACCGTCTATGGATCATGGCCGCGGGGCCATGTTGGCCTGACCCCTTGGGGCCTCTTACACTCTATGGATCATGGCCACGGGGCCAAGTTGGCCTGACCCCTTAGGACCTCAGGCCCTCTGTGGGTCGTGGCCGCGGGGCCAAGTTGACCTGGCCCATTGGGGCCTCTGGCCTTCTGTGGCTTGCGGCCGCGGGGCCAAGTTGGCCTGGCCCTTTGGGGCCTCTGGCCTTCTGTGGGTCGTGGCCGCGGGGCCAAGTTGACCTGGCCCCCTGGGGCCTCTGACCCTCTATGGATCGTGGCCGTGGGGCCAAGTTGGCTTGGCCCCTTGGGGCCTCTGACCGTCTATGGATCGTGGCCGCGGGGCCAAGTTGGCCTGGCCCCTTGGGGCCTCTGACCGTCTATGGATCATGGCCGCGGGGCCATGTTGGCCTGACCCCTTGGGGCCTCTTACCCTCTATGGATCATGGCTGCGGGGCCAAGTTGGCCTGAACCCTTAGGACCTCAGGCCCTCTGTGGGTCGTGGCCGCGGGGCCAAGTTGACCTGGCCCCTTGGGGCCTCTGACCGTCTATGGATCATGGCCGCGGGGCCATGTTGGCCTGACCCCTTGGGGCCTCTTACCCTCTATGGATCATGGCCGCGGGGCCAAGTTGGCCTGACCCCTTAGGACCTCAGGCCCTCTGTGGGTCGTGGCCGCGGGGCCGAGTTGACCTGGCCCCTTGGGGCCTCTTACCCTCTATGGATCATGGCCCCTTGGGGCCTCTTACCCTCTATGGATCGTGGCCGCGGGGCCAAGTTGGCCTGGCCCCTTGGGGCCTAAGATTATTATTTTTGCAAAAGTAGTTTTGCTTGGGTCGCGGCCGCGGGGCCAAGTTGGCCTGGCCCCTTGGGGCCTCTGGCCCCCTGGGCCTGGGCCCGGTAGGCCCGGTCATTAATCCACCTATGAACGTGATCCCCTCATTCCACAAAAGGTCAGACAGATCTCCAAATGTCAGCAGATCTCAGTTATAATTTATTTCATGGTACCACATGTGGGCTGCTATGTGCGGCAGTGGGTAGCATTGCTGACTTGAAGCAAGAAGGTTCCAGTTCGATTCAAGGCCTGGGGTCTTTCTGCATGGAGTTTGCATGTTCCCCTGTGCATGTGTGGTTTCTCTCCGGGTACTCCGGCTTCCTCCCACAGTCTAAAAACATGACTGTTAGGTTAATTGGCTTCTCTAAATTCTCCTTAGGTGTGAGTGTTGTTTGTCTCTGTGTTGCCCTGTGATGAACTGGATAGTTGTCCAGGGTGTACCCCGCCAGCACCCCTAGCGACCCCGCTTGGGATAAGCGTGACATAAACTGGATGGATGGATGATACCACATGTATACTTTTTCTTGGTTGTTCATGATTAACCACAGAGTAGTAAAGAAACTTTGGTCAACTTTACAGTATCTCAAACTTTGAATTCCCAGAAAGTTAAAAAACTTAAAAATTAAACCACTGAACTTTGTTTTCCAAGTTTGAAGACGTTTCGCTTTCCATTAAGGAAACTTTCTCAATGGAAAATGTCTGGATTAGCGTGAGTTTTATAGAGTGGTGAACAAAGCCTTGTTATGGCTTATTGTTTTGGTTACCAAAACATCTCAACTGGTCAGCCAGGCCAACAATGACCCTAACAACATCTTTTTCAGAGACATCGGCCAGTATTGGGTATTTCAGGCCAACAATAACCTCAATAACTCCCCATTACTAGGGGTTGGACCTGTATTTTCAGTTCAATTTGTTTTATAAGCCATAACAAGGCTTTCTTAGGCTAATCTATAAAAGCCTGCAACTCAGTGGTAATCTAGACATTTTGAGAAGAGGAGAGAAAGCTTCCTGGATAGAAAGCAAAACGTCTTTACACTTGGAAAACAAAGTCCAGTGGTTTCTTTTTTAACATGTTTTTCCTTTTTTGGAATGACTATGATCTGGATGAGAATCTTCACCTCAAACTCTTAAGTGACCACAATCATCTGACAGAAGATGATTATCTGAGTTGGCCACTTACCTGGTTTAACAGTCTCAGTCCAAGAATGTCCCCAAGTGCTGCAGTCCCAGAGGTCATGCTGGAAGCCGATCCTGGTCAGGGATCCAGATCAGGCACGAACAGAAACAGGTGGCAGGATCCAGACTTCCAGGCATCCACAGGCTTCCAGGAGGGTTCAGAGTCTGACAGGGTCCGAAAGCGTGACCAGGTGGTCACGCACAGGAGCAGACAGGATCAGGTGCAGATGAGCAGGCTCAGTGGAAGAGGGTTGCTGAGACAGGGCGTGGAACCAGAACTTGATGCAAGGACTTTAAACTGGTCTCCTCCCTGGAGCCAGGCTTACTGAGATAAAAGCTGAACCTCCCCACATATAGAGCCAAAAACCCAGAGGAATCCATGGGGGAGGAACAGTGGACGATCAGGAGACGAGACAGACACAAAAACCCTCTTTCCACTGGCTGCCAGGATCCAGGACATGAACCAAGGTAAAAAAAAACTGAACAGACAGACTAACAGAAAGACAAGTAATGATCTGGCACTGAATGCTCAGGCTGAACTTAATATAACCCAGAGGAAACAGGTGAGATGAATAAATTATAATTGAGGCAGGGAGGGAAAACGGCAGGTGAAAGATTATCAATTAAGGAGGAGCAAACAGGCCAGATCATGACAGAGCCCCCCCCTTCAAGGGTGGATTCCAGACGCCCAAACCAGAACCAAACACTACGAAAAAAGTAAACCAAGCAGGGAGGGTGGGGGGCTCAACACCGGACACAGATCAAAAAGAAAAAAACTCAAACAGAACACGGGCTTCTGACATTGGGAGGCACAGACCCAAAACACAGACGAACAAGTAGAACCTCCCGCATGTCAGAACCGGGCCGAAAATTAAACTCATAAAGAAAAAAACACCTTATCCTACTGACTGTCCCCTGATGGGTCCTTTTTTGGCCAGATCATTCTGTCATGAATCACGGACAGATGGACCCAGTATTCAATGAAAGACAGTCAGTAGGTAAGTTCAAAATATTTATTAACAAAACAAAAACTAAAGTGGAGCTACAATATGGCTCGCGGACACTGCAGGAGGGGGGCGGGCACCGCCCAATCTCAGCCATTCTGCAGGAGAAACACAGGTAAGTGACCACGATCATCTGACAGAAGATGATTATCTGAGTTGGCCACTTACCTGGTTTAACAGTCTCAGTCCAAGAATGTCCCCAAGTGCTGCAGTCCCAGAGGTCATGCTGGAAGCCGAACCTAGAGGACTCCGCGGGGAGGAACAGTGGACGATCAGGAGACAAGATAAACACAAACTGGCTGCCAGGATCCAGGACATGAACCAAGGTAAAAAAAAAACTGAACAGACAGACTAACAGAAAGACAAGTAATGATCTGGCACTGAATGCTCAGGCTTAACTGAATATAACTCAGAGGAAAAAGGTGAGAGGAATACATTATAATTGAGGCAGGGAGGGAAAACGGCAGGTGAAAGATTATCAATTAAGGAGGAGCAAACAGACCAGGTCATGACACCTGGCTCCCCTGTACCATCCAATGTCACTGGCCTTGTTTTTGTAGTTATCCCTAAGACTTTTCTGCTCTTTGTCTGGTATGTCACCACTGAAACCCCCCACCTTTTTAGGTGGTATTCACAGAGCAGCTGGGTTTACACAAAGATATACACCCACTGACAATATATCAATTCTGTCACTTCCAAAGGTAACTAGCGGCACTGAATTTTGTTGAGGGGTTTTAGAGTTTGGGATTCTAAAACATATATAACCATTTCAGATTTTTTTATTTTATTTATTAAACACAATATAACTTCAATTCAAAGAGGAATGTTTGCTGATTGGTTCTTTTAGACCTGACAGACCAGATTACAGCTTCCATTGATTTATTTCAAATTTGAAACTTTGTGTAGCCTGTAAGGTAAAAAAAAAAAAAAAAAAGTATCAATTAATTGAATCATTGGGTCAGGAAATCGATACTGAATCGAATCGCCATGATGGGTGTGATTTACACCTCTAGTTATAACACAATGATTTCTATGACAGGAAGCGAATTTTGACCCTTGATCACACCTACATGCTTTGATGAAGGAAAAATCCTTTCAAAAACTTTGATCCCCAATTCCTTAAGTATATGCTGAATTATTTAAAAGTCTGTAATTCACAAGCTGTCGGAGGAGTTTCCTCAGATAGGACACGAGTAAACAGGACAAAATGGTGGCTTTGATTCAAAATGGCCAACTTCCTGTGGGCTGCACCATGGCCTTTAAAAGTCTTCTTTGAAGTTCCTGTAAGTAATGTCTGCTCATGCATGTCTTTTCTCTGCAAATTCACAAACCAGACCCCTCTGACCCAGCTATTATCTGAAACCTATGATCTGAAATCATCAGACATGTCTACTGTCCTCAGAGAGTCCATTTTATCCATGGGATACTTATAATTATTCTTTGTACAGCGAAACAATTGTGATTATCTAAGGAAATAGCATGGAAAAACCCCAGATAATTTGATTTTGATTTAATTTGGTTGAATTTGATTTGATTTAATGGATATGTAAAAAAAAAAAAAAAAAACATTCATACTTTTTTACCAAATAAATCAAGAGCAAATTAGTAAAATATAATTGAAAATAATCATAAAAATGAACAATTGTAAAATGTGTTTATTTTAACAGTAGAAAGCTGAGGAGTGATTGTTAACCTTCAAAGTCTTGATGTAAAAAAAAAGAAAGAAAGGTGGCTAAAAGATTACTGTAAAAACTGAAACATACGTAACAGCTGTTTCCAATTACCAAGGTAATCATGCCCTTGCCTCCACCAGTTGCAATTCTGATTTTTAAATCACTTATCTTTTTGCACTTTTTCAGCCATAACCCTTTACCTCTCTCACAGTTTTCCTGGGGTAAGCCTGTTATCGTGTCATTCAGTACAAAGAGGAACATGTCAGAGTTCATTTAGTTAATAAGTATCTGTGTGCAGAGCACCTGTTTAAAAGACCACAGCTTGTTTTCCTGCAGATCCACAGCCACCATGGAGCTGCGTCTCTCTGTCTGCATTCTGCTACTACTTTGTGGAACAAGGAGCTCAAATGGAGGAAAGATTTTGGTGTGGTACACAGAGGCCAGCCACTGGCTAAACATGAAGCCTGTACTGGAGACCCTGGTCGACAGAGGACACCAGGTGACCGTTTTGATCCCGAGCACATCATTATTCATGAACAGCAGTGAACCCTCTCGCTTCCAGTATGAGCCTTTTAATGTTTCAGTCACACAGGATTTTTTAGAAAGGTTTGTTGAGGAGTTCCTACATTTCAACATGTATGAAATGGACTTCATAAACCCTGTTCAGATTTACATGAAATTTATAGATTTAATGAAGCAAAACATGCAGACAACTTTGAAGTTTTTGGATGGGGTAGTGAAATCAGAACGCATCATGAAGAAGCTGAGGGAAGCAAAGTACAACCTGCTGTTTGCTGATCCAATCTATGCCGGCAGTGACCTGACAGCAGACATGTTGGGCATCCCCATCGTCTACTCATTGCGATTCTCAATGGTCAATAACTGGGAAAGGATGTGTGGTCAGCTACCTGCTCCACCTTCCTTTGTCCCTGGTGCTATGAGCAAACTCACAGACAAGATGGACTTCTCAGAGAGACTGTGGAACGCCCTTTTCTATGCTTTCAATGACTTTGTGCTGGAACAAGTTATGTGGAAAGAGGTTGACAAATATTACTCTGATATCAGAGGTGAGAAAGCTACAAAAAAAAAGAAAACAGAGACTAGAAAGACATGCAGATTAAAACATACATGAAAATATGTTTTATAATGTTTGTTTTGTACTCCTGTGCTGCTTCAATCAACAGGAACACCCACCAGCGCCTGTAAGATGATGGGTAATGCAGATATTTGGTTGCTAAGAACCTACTGGGATTTTGATTTTCCTCGCCCATTCCTTCCCAACTTCAAATTTGTTGGAGGGATCCACTGCAGACCGGCTAAACCTTTACCAGAGGTAGTATTATAATTTACACTTTCACCCCTAATAATTCAATTAAATTAACTTCAAAAATACTTTACTAATCCCAAACGGACATTACATGTTTCAATAACTCACACATTATTTCTTAAACAGGTGTTGTAGATGTTTATAGCTGTAGACAGGAAGGATCTTCTGTAGTGGTCTGTGTTGCACCGGATCTGGAGAAGCCTCTTACTGAAGACACTGTTGTTCTTTAAATATCTTCTGAAGAGGATGCTCACTGTTGTCCATAATTTGCTTCAGTTTTTGAAGAATTCTTCTTTGTGATATAATCTCTAGAGGTTCTAGAGGAGTTTCTAGAAGAGAGCTGGCCTTTTTAAAACAAGTCATTAGCTTTAATACTTTTACCCCAGCAAAGCATGGAAGAAGAGATCACACTCTCTACAACAGACTAATAGAAGATATGTAACATCTTGTTGCAAACACCAAAGGACCTAAGCTTCCTTAGGAAGTACAATCTCCTCTCTCCCTTCTTGTAGATGACTACACATTTATGTATCAAGTTTAGTTAGTTGTCCAAGTGAGTACTAAGCTACAGTATTTATCCTCTCAAAACCCACCCGGCACCGGCGACCGTTTTTATAGCGTTTACAACTAATAACTCAGAATGCATGAAAATTACAATGGTACATTTTTACCAATCTAGATATGTTAGACATCATTGGAAAACTTAGATTCTCCACAATTTAACCGCCAAGTTCATTTTATGGACACAGCGAGCTAACCTGACAACAGCCAGATGCATGTCTAGCTCCGCCTAGCTCCACTCACTTACATCTGGGACACCGCTCATTGAAAGTGATTTCCCCAACCAAATTTATGCTCTGGCCAATCAGGACGCAGGGCGGGTGTTTCCTGGATGTGACGTAGTGGAGAAGCGAGCGTGAGAATCCAACAACAATGGCGGCTCGCATCGAGGAAGCAAGCGTTAGCATTGATGCTGCTATTTCTTCTGTGTTGTCCAATCTTGTTTATATATTATAATATTGTTTCATTAAAAGAACATCAGAGAACGGCTTTGAAGGCTCTTCTCACAGCGTCACGGGTTAGCTTCGGTGTGAGTGGTTGAAATAGCACGTCGATAAAGATGACAGACAAGTGGCTTATCCAATCATATGCAAGGAGTTTTGATAAGGCCCAGCCTTCAGTAAAGGCAATTCCTATGGCGGTGTCCCAGATGTATGTGAGTGGAGCTAGGTGGAGCTAGACATGCATCTGGCTGTTGTCAGGTTAACAGCGAGCACCAAACCACAATAAACACAGGTACAGCAGCATGTCAAAATGTAAGCATTACAAAGATGCCACAACAACATACCTTTAAATGCGCCCAGAAGGTGTTTTCTAAACCCAGTCTTCAATTGTTTGTACTCAATTTGTCCATAAGGGTCTAAAGAATAAAAGTAATCCAGAATATTCATAATAAAATATTTCATTATGAGAAAATTGCCACATAATGTCTGTTTTTTGACATCAGAAAAGTTAGCCGGTCATAACTAATGCTTAGCATATTTCTAGCAAGACTTCCTTCCTCAAACATTTGTCTGTAATGTTTGGCATGTTTCTTTACATCGTCCTCTTACCTACAAGACAAAACTGTCTGCATCTTTATATGACTCAATTTAAGTCAGGGATAGCCAATGAAGTCTCTCAAGCTCTCCTTGCCTGTCAGCCAATGACGCCCAGAGTAGAGCGATATAACCCATCATAGAGTCCTGCTGTTATTGGTTAAGACAATGTGGGCTGTTTGACTTTGTGGCCAATGAAATAAGGTTTCAGACTAGTGTTGCGCCAATGCCATTTTTTGGCCCCGATACTGATACCCGATACCTGACTGTGCAGTATTTGCTGATACTGATTCCATCTGTTTGAAATTGATGTGTGTGTGTGTGTGTGTACATGAAGAACTGCATACTACTTGGATGTAAAATAATTGCCATCATGGCTTTGTCAGGCTGCTGCCTACCTTTGTGAAGCAGAAAAAATACTAATACAAAGTGAATCCAGAGCTTTTTATTGGCTCCCTGGAATGGGTGACAATTGTTACCCAAATATAACTTTTGGCTCTCAAAATGGTATCGGTGTCCTTTTTGTTGGTCCGTCCCGATACCTATACCACCATTTTAGTGCTGGATCAGGGCCCCGCCCGATACTGGTATCGGTATTGGTGCAACACTATTTCAAACCAGCGTAGACATGGCTGGGTTGCATAAAGCAGAGACGTGTTACCGGCTTGCGTAAGAGTGAAATACATTGCTGTGACTGGATCAGTGTGCACAGTTCGAAGCTGGTTACTAACAACGCTCCGATATTTTTGAAGTTTGGACAGTGATTTTGTTTTATTACAAGGCCAAAAGAAAAAACAAAAAAAACTCAAAAAGGCACTAGGGCTTATTTTAGCTTGAAAAGCAGTAGTTTCAATATTTTTTTATAGATATTTTTTATTTTTTAGGTTCATATAGATGTTACATTTTGTTATATGCACTGAAAAAAAGTAGAAAAAACTTGTTTTTATAAATGTTTTGTGACCATAAAAATGCTTCAGTATTATAACATGGGTCAAATAGTTGAGTAAAAGCATTTGGCAGAATCTGGCACATTTGGAGAGGTTTGGAGACACTGGTGACACCAAAGGTTCAAAGCCCCACAGCTCTGGAAGTTTTCCAGCTAGAGGTCTGAAATTTTCTGCATTTGTGGTTTACATGATGTAGAACAAATGTAGTATGTAAATGTATATTACAAATGTAGTATACAATGAGACATACCTCACAGTGTAATCTGCCTTGTCTAAATAACAGTGGGTTTGTTGAAGCAGGTGTATGATGGCATCATCAACTCCAACACAGAGGTGATAAGCAAACTGCAGGGGGTCCTGATAGCTGGTTGTTCGCTTGCTGAGGTGAACTAACAGAAGTCTCTCTAGGACCTTCATGATGGGGGATTTCAGGGCGACGGGTCTATAGTCACAGAGGACTGTTGGCTGAGACTTCTTTGGTACTGGGACAAGGCAGGAGGTGTTCCACATCCCTGGAAATGTCTCCTGGGTCAAACTAAGGGTGAAAATGGGCTGTAGAATCCCACAGAGCTGCTCTGAACAGGCTTTCAGGACTCTGGGGCTGACACCATCAGGACTTGGTGACTTATTATGATTCAGTCTCTCTAGTTGCCTCTTTATTTGACTTCTAGAAATAGACAGGTGAAAGGTGGTGGGAACAGCACCATCTTGTTGAGTTTGTTTCAGTCACTTGTGATTCGTGGTTTATTATTTGAGAAGTATTTCACTGTTCTGGTAGGGTTGGGGTTATCTGCACAGAAGTTTATGTAGTCAGTCACACAGTCATTGCATTGATGTCCTCTCCATGTGGCTGACACAGTGCATCACAATCTGTAGGCTCAAAATAACCTTGCAGGGCTACTAAAGCTTCCTGTCACCATCTTCTAACAGTTCTTTTTAACTGCTCGTATGGTCAGAATACCTGGCAGAGAGAGGCTTAAATCAGAGATGTGATCCTGCAGCCACATTTCAGTAAAACACATAATGCTGCATTGCCGGTATTCTGTCTGGCTCCTTGCTAGGGCTTGGAGTTCTTTTAAATTGTTACCTAAAGACCTCACATTGCCCATGATGATTGGTGAAAGGTTTAAATGTATTCTTCCTCACTCGTCTCCTTGCTCCTGCAGCCCTGGTGACCCTTTTCAGTTCGGCTGGTACTTGCATAAGTAGTTGAAGTATTATTTCAGCTTTAGAGATGTTAAAAAGCTGCCTCCAAAAAAAATAAAAATAAATCTACTTTCTAGGTTGTATTTATATGTATTATATAAAGTGTCCAAAAAGGACAAACATATAAATAAAATCCTTCCAGTTTCACAGCATTGATCAACAGAGGCGCAAATAATCAGAAAAAGAAACTCTTATCCAAAAATTGAAGGATTCAAGTTCTCTTGAAAAAGTATATCAGAGTCAAGTTAGCAGAACTACTCCAATGTGCAGCGACCTTAAGCAGTGCAATTCTAGAATTGAAACCATGAATCACATGAACCCTAATCTAATAGTCTGACTCAATTAGCATAGTCCCTTAATGAAAGTTAAAGGGTCAAATTAAAATGAAAATACTACTGTTTTACAGAAAATTAAAAGATTTGTCCAAAGCTCTGGAGATGCTGGGATCGTGGTCTTTTCTTTGGGATCTATGGTCAGGAACCTCACCACAGAGAAAGCCAACACGATAGCCTCAGCTCTCTCACAAATTCCACAAAAGGTAGGAAAGATCTCCAAATGTCAGCAGATCACAGCTCCCATACAGTTTACGCAATAACATGTTTAGTTTTGCTTACTTACTCTGTCTGCAGGTGCTTTGGAGATATAGTGGAAAAAAACCTGACACTCTGGGCTCTAACACTAAACTTTATGATTGGATACCCCAAAACGACCTGCTTGGTAAGCAAAGTACAACACCAAATTTCACAATGGCTTGAAGCAAAGGTTAAAAAAAAGCAACTCCATTATTAGAGTGATATCAGATCTTGTTACATTTTCCCTCCATAAAAACTTGGCTCTTGAAGAAATGAAATAGGATTTTTAAAGATTTCTCTCACTAACATTAGGAGCTAGTAACAGGGGTCGGGTTAACAAACACTGACACTTGATTCTAACCTGTCAAAGTTATAATTCTATCCAGCAAGATTTGGATGGATGGTGCCTGAAATGTTGCTCTCTCTACAAATATAGCATCAAATTACTTCTTTGTATTGCCATGTTGGTGTTCTCAATGATCATACCATAACAGATACATTTTTACGTGTTGCTTACTGTAGCTGTAGCTTTTCCTGCACTTTGGCCCAAACAAATTTTTTTTCCTGTATAGAATAAAAGTAACTTGGTTACCCAAAAGCATGTGCAAATTTTTTTCAAAAATGTGCCTTTTCAACAAATTATTTCTTTAATCTGGACCCTGTTGTGGTAAAAATATTCATCTGCATTCCAGAAGGAGATAGATTGTTATTATATCACTCTGCATGTTATTATCTTTCTTTGCAAAGATAGAACAAGACAATCATAGCAGCCCTATTAGCTCAATGTCCTGCCCTGTTATGGTTAGACAAAAGTCCATCTCACTAATTTAAACCCTGTGGAAGTTGTGAGAACACAATTAATACAAAACAATTACAAGTAAAATGTAATGTAATAAAGAAACCCTGAAAAAAAGTTTAGCTTGTTATGAGGAGGATTATTTTTATCCCCAACTCTCTCCAATTGGATAAACTACTCCAAAGTGCCTTTTAGACACCTTGTAGCCTTGCAGCTCTGAGGCCTGAAATAATGCTTTTATAAGCAAGTAAATCAGCACTCATACATCAATTTGTAAAAGGGAATTAATAGGATATTGACTTTTCTGACCACAACCCTTTGCAGCTACTTCACTAATTTTTCATTCATCATGTAAGTACTGTGCATTCTCTCCATTTAAAAGACTACTTTATTTATTTTATTTTATTTATAGTACACCGCACAATTATTGTAACCCCTATTAAATATTTGCGAGAAAGCATTTAGTTTAAGTTATCTTTTATTGAAGTAGCTTAATCACTGAACAAATATAACCCAACTTTTAGTCTAGTTTTAAAGAGTTTGGAAAATGTTCTTATATCAAGGGATAAATAAATAGAAGGTGAAATTCGTTTAACACAATTCCTATGGAACAAGTGTACGTAAAGCATGTTTTAAGTATATATAAGACTTTATTGACAGTGGACAGAGTTTTATAGATATTTAAATAGCTATCCATGTTTAATTGATTTACTGGGGCATAAATAGGGTTTGACGTTGCTCTTATTTACTCTTCAAAATGGGAAATAGGCCAAAGAGAACAGAAATCAACTTCTTGCCAAAAGTACTTTCTTGTGTCAGGAACAGTTGGAAAAATCCCTTATACTTGAATTTAAACTTTCAGAAAACTTCAACAATATATGATTTATGTGGTGTCACCGCATCACCTTAAAACATTTTATCTGGAGTTTCAATAACCGTAGAAGTTGCTGTGTAGTATTTATAATACACCTGTGACAACAAAACCCTGGACCTCGCTCCATGTTTTGATAAAGTAAACAACACACCTGATTGTTCCTATCAGGTCATCCAAAAACAAGAGCTTTCATCACTCACGGTGGTGCAAATGGAGTTTTTGAGGCCATCTACCATGGTATTCCCATGGTGGGCATCCCAACGTTTGCTGATCAGCCAGACAACATGGTGCACATGGCGGCTAAAGGAGCTGCAGTTAATGTGGACTTCAACTTCATGACAACTGAGGCCCTCAGAGATGCTATCAACACCGTCATCAATGACAAATCGTAAGTTATTTTACAGAGTACCAACTTAGTTTAAAGTTTTAGTGACAATATAGTTTGGAAAGTTTTTTTTATGGTGAAAAAAGTAAAAATGAACAATTTCTGAACGCCAAAAGAAAAAGTAGCCCCCAATTTCCTTTTGGTTTTGAGGATTACTAATAATGCATGTCTTCATATTTTTGTCTCAAAATGTCCTAAGACGTCTTGATGTGCACAAATGTCTTGAGAAGCCTTGTTTCTTCTTATTCGGACATCTTGAAGCGCCTTGAGAAACTGTGATGGCTGGATAAAAATTCCAAATAATGAAAATCTGAAACATAGTTTTGCAGACGATTAATCCAATCCAAAAAAAATCTTTTTTTTTCTTAACCCTGATCTATTAACTCTTTTTGGGGGGTTTCTTCAATGAGCTGTTGAAGATTCTGATGTCTGTAGCCAGAAATGATCTCCTGTAGAGGTATAATAATGTATCATTAGAAGCCCAAACTACAAAAAGTGTCTGATGAAGAGGATTCTCCATAATCTCATGCATTTTATGAGATAAAAACAACTTGTATCAAAAACACACCGAGTTTCTTCAGAGCACCCAAAACTAACTACTATACTAAACTATATTCAGTACAGAAATGTTGCTTTTTGGCCAGAAACATGCACAATAATCAAAAGCAGCACATAGAAAAAGGTGATTGTTCACACAGTGCTGTGCCTAGCTTAAGTGAAGTACTAAAAAGTGGTGTTTTCTTTCCATTCTATATCAGCTACAAGGAAAATGCAATGCACCTATCCAGGATTCATCATGACAGACCCATGAGTCCTCGGGATGAAGCCGTTTTCTGGATCGAATACACCATGAGAAACAAAGGAGCCAAGCATCTGCGGGTCCAGGCCCACGAGCTCACCTGGTACCAGTACCACAGCCTGGACGTCCTAAGCTTCCTCCTAACTGTAGCCTTGCTCTTCATTGTCATCCTCATCAAGATATGCAGCCTCTGTTTTAAGAGATGCTCCGGCAGAAAAACGACAAAGACAAAAGCTGAATAAAAAGATGAAGTGAGATTTTGTTTGTCAAAATGTAACCTGGCGCCGCTATGTATTGCCTCCTTAAAGTTGTCTGTCAATGAGCAATTGGCCTCTGAAGAAATTACCCCTGAAAGTAACTGTGTTTTTATGGTTTACTTGAAAATATTTCACCACTGTTTTCAATGCTGAGTCGCACAAAACGTACTGCACAACAGATGCTGGTAGATAAGAGTTCAGAGTTAGAGCTCCAAGAAGATATCTGTATTTTCTGTGGAAACACCACAAAACATGGATTTTACACATGCTAAAAAAAACTGAACAGAATATTCCTGGTAACTGTAAATGTTTTCACAGTCACCCTGATTAAAAATTATATTTTTGCATCAATGCAGCTGGGTGATAGCTGCAACAAATTAATATCTAACTTTAAATGACAGCAGCAAGGCATGGTAGTGACCCGATAAAGTGGCATGCTGCTGAAGCTCAGTTTATTCAGAACTTTACTGTAAACCATTTTTTAGTGTTTAATATATTTATTCAATTCACATAGTATAAGAATATGAAAGGAATTACAGAAAGGAATAAAAAAAAAAACAGGTAGTAAAAATATAAACAATCCCTCCCACCCCCCCCCCACTGTCGTTTACAAAATCAACAAAAACATAACAACACACAGCATAGACCGTCAAAAAGGAGGTAGTAGACAGATAATTGAAAAATAATAACCAGAATACCATACAGATTCAATCTTGTAATACTGTAGATGGTTGGCTGAAAAAGGTTAAGAAAGGTCTCCAGACTTGATAAAATTTCTTTTCAGAGCCCCTCAAAACGAAGCGAATTTTCTCCAACTTAAGGTGGAACAGCACATCTTTGATCCAATGCGATACTGTGGGTGGGGCAGCATCCTTCCACTTGAGAAGGATCAAACGGCGTGCTAGCAAGGTGGAGAAGGCGATGAGTTCCCGACCACCAGCAGGCAAACCAAACCCTTCAGTCGTAACCCCAAAAAGCAGCATAAGTGGATTCATGGCTATACTGACTCCAAGTACACTAGAAAGTGCCTCCCTAATACCTTCCCAATATTGCTGTATCTTGGGACAGAACCAGATCATATGGATTAAAGTGGCCTCTGCTGATTTACATCGATCACATGTCGGGTCAATGTGAGGATACATCTTAGCCAGTTTATATTTATGGAGATGTGTACGATGTACTATTTTAAACTGAATGAGAGAGTGTCTTGCGCACATTGAGGATGTGTGAATTTTCCTTAAAACATCAGCCCACTCTGCTTCACTGAAATTCACCTGGAGATCCTGCTCCCAAGCCCCTTTAATAGATAACGATGACAAAGTCTCCAGGTGGCATATAAGGTGCAATATTGAGGAAATTGCTTTCTTTTTGGTTGGATTAAAAAGCATTAGTTCATCGACTAGATTTAAGGGAGGTTTATCTGGAAACCGGGAGATTGAGCCTGAAATAAAGTGTCTTACTTGCAAATATCTAAAAAAATTGGATGAATGGAAGTTATATTTAACGGAAAGCTGTTGGTAAGATGCAAATTTATTATCAATAAAAAGGTCGTTGAAAGTCTTCAACCCCACTCCAGACCACTTTTTAAACGTGGCGTCAAGCATTGAGGGAGGAAAAAAATTATTAGATGCTACTGGGCTAAACAAACTCAAATCATGGAGGCCAAAATGTTTTCGAAATTGGGAATAAATTTTAACTGACTCGCGTACAACAGGATTATCAATAGATAACTCTTTAAGATGTGAAGTTGATGCACCAACTATAGCTGGTAGAGACAGTAAACCGGATGTAAGTCTCTCCACCTCCACCCATGATGGACCATTATTATCAGGATGCCTATACACCCAGAAAGACAAACTATGAAGATTGGCTGCCCAGTAATAATATCGAAAATTGGGGAGAGCTAAGCCGCCATCCTGTTTAGATTTCTGTAGATGTTCTTTACGCAAGCGTGGTTTTTTGCTATTCCAAATAAATGAGGAGATAACCGAGTCGAGTTTTTTGAAAAAAGAGTTAGAGAGAAATACTGGAAGGCTTTGGAATAAGTACAAATATTTGGGTAACACCGACATCTTAACAACATTTACTCTACCAATTAAAGAAAGAGGAAGAAGTGACCATTTAGACATATCCTGTTGGACCTTTACATGTAATTTGTCAAAGTTATTTTTAAAAAGATCACCAAACTTTCTTGTCACGGTAACCCCAAGATAAACAAGACTATCTGTAGCAACCTTAAAAGGTATAGTAATATTATCCAGGGCCGAGGTACACAAATTCAACGGCAATAGTTCGCTTTTATGTAAGTTTAATTTGTACCCCGAAATTTTCCCAAACCCTTCGAGAAGCTCCAGAATAATGGGAATAGTTGTCTCGGCCCTAGACACAAAAAGCAACAGATCGTCAGCATAGAGAGCTAATTTATGTTCAGTGCCGCATCTTATAATGCCCTGAATTGAATGATTATTCCTTATAGCTATGGCTAGCGGTTCAATAGCCAAGACAAAAAGCAAAGGACTAAGGGGACAGCCCTGCCGAGTACCGCGATGTAGCCTGAACATTTCAGAGTAGTGGTTATTCGTCAGAACCATCGCGGAAGGGCAAGCATACAGTAATTTAACCCATGATATAAATGCAGCACCAAACCCAAATCTATGGAGTGTCTCAAACAAATAGTCCCATTCTACTCTGTCGAATGCCTTCTCTGCATCCATGGAGAGAAGGCACTCGGAGTCCATCTGGTTTGAAGTGTATACAATATTAAGTAAACGACGAATATTGGAATGAGCATGTCTATCTTTCACAAAACCTGTCTGATCCGGAGATATTACAAAAGGCAAAACTTTTTCCAAACGCAGGGCCAATACTTTAGCTAGAATTTTGTAATCACTGTTCAATAATGATATTGGTCTATAAGACACACATTCCAAAAGATTTTTATCTTTTTTCGGAAGTAATGTAATACAAGCTTGATTTAGAGTGGCAGGAAGAGACCCCTTGCTCAAAGAATCTGCACAGACTGCTGCAAAAATTGGAGTTAAATGTTGAGAAAAGGCAGCGTAAAACTCACTCGGCAGACCATCAGATTTATGAGATTGCAGTGAGTTAATCGCTGCCACGATCTCTTGCTGCTGTATTGGTGCGTCCAGGGCCGCCACCTGCTCTGGAGACAAAGTAGGGAATGGTAAACCTCCAAAAAAGTCCGACAATAGGGCAGAGTTGCTGGGGTTATTGGAACAATACAAATCCTGATAATAACACTGAAATGCTTTATTTATGTCGCACTGATCAGTGACCGTCTGACCTGTCTGAAGAGTCACCCCATTAATCGTTTGTTTAGCTCTGGCTCCTTTCAATTGTCTTGCCAGAATCTCACCAGTCTTATCTCCATGTTCATAAAAATTGCTGCGGTTCTTTAACAACAGTCGTTCAATATGGTGTGAGGTTAGTAAGTCATATTCTGAGGCGAGTTTCAAACGCTCTTTGTAGAAAGCCGAGGAAGGGGTTTGTGCATTTCTACTATCTATTTCAGCTATCTGTTCTTCCAGCTTCGTTTGTCTTAATTTTGAGTCTCTCTTTTTTTTAGCCATAAAAGATATAACCTGACCTCTCAGATATGCCTTAAGGGCTTCCCAAACAGTTGATATAGAAATGTCTGGTGTAACATTAATGTCTAGAAATAAAGAAATTTGTTCAGTAATAAAGTTTGAGAAACTCTCATCGGATAGCAGAAGAGGGTTAAATCTCCACATTCGTCTGTGCATCCTAGCATCTGGTATATTCAGTTTAAGTAAGAGGGGGGCATGGTCCGATACTACAATAGGTTGGTATTCACAAGATTGAACATCAGATATCAACTTATTGTCAGTAAAGAAATAATCAATTCTACTGTATGTTTGATGGGCATATGAGAAAAAAGAATACTGCCTATCAGTTGGATGGAGGAAACGCCAAATACCAGAGATGCCATAGGTTGAAAGAAATGACTGCATATAAGAGATAGATTTAGGTGTTACATAACCCAGCCTTACAGATGACCGATCCATCCCCGGGTCCAGACAGAAATTAAAATCACCGCCCATGATAAGCAAGTGCGAATTCAGGCAAGGAAGCAAACTGACTACGCGGGAGAAAAAATGGGGGTCATCACAGTTTGGAGCATAAACATTGGCTAAAATAACGTTAATATTATAAAGCTTACCAGTCACTATAACATATCTCCCATTTGGGTCAGCTATGGTTGTGGATGGAATAAAAGTGATATTTTTATTAATCAGGATAGCAACACCTCTAGCCTTGGCCTGAAAAGTTGAATGGAACAGCTGCCCCACCCATCCACATTTAAGTCGAGCATTGTCAGAATTTTTCAGATGTGTTTCCTGGGTGAATGCTATTCCAGCACCCAAGTTTTTGAGGTGTGTGAGAACCTTCTTCCTCTTAACAGGATGATTCAGCCCTTTAACATTCCAAGTAATTATGTTTAATGAGTTAGCCATTTATAATGATAAATAAGGCTATTAACCAGAAAACTACACATTCCTTGTCTGTTTAACAACATAAAAAGCGCAAAAGTATCCTGGTAGAAAACAAAAATAAATAACAAAATCAGTGAAATGCAGCACTTTGGTCAAACAACGACAGTGGAGAAAAGACCTACCCCCGAACCCCCAGGTGACACTAGCTGCTAGAACGAGCAGCACACCTACACTAACAAACTGAATTACTCCCGTAACTAAACTAGCTTAGAACGTAAAAAAAAAGCTCCTCCATCCCGCTTAGGTAGATTATAAAATAAGCCCACCCTAATAGTAAGTTAGATTGTAAGACCCACATAACTATAAAGTACAAATTCAAATGAACACCAGTAACAAACCACCAATGAATTGTGACATTACTCACGCCGTAAAACTGAAGCAATTACTGAACTAATATGCAGTGCTAAGAAGTATCATTCACGGTTTCTTAAAGTCTTGAGCAAACTTCTCAGCCTCTGCCACAGAGCCGAGTGCGACGCGTGTACCGTCTGTGTTGACAATCCGAAGCCGGGCAGGATACAGTAGCGAAGGTTTCAGTCCCAACCCGTACAGAACTGACATAACCGCTGCGTATTTCTTCCTTTGACTGACCACCTCGGGGCTGTAGTCCTCGTAGATTCTGAAAGGATTGTTTTGGTACATTAAAGTTCCCCTTTTCCTGGCCTCCCGGATCACTAGCTCCTTGTTTTGGTACCGATGGAAGCAAATGGTGACCGGCCGAGGCCTGCCACCAG